GACACACACACAGACAACCTCTCGTCAATATGCGTTTTTCGCATTGCATTACTGCAAAAAACGCATGAAAAACGATCGTTAAATTGAAATTGTACATTTACTTTGTGCAAATTTTATGGTGATTTATGCTAGTGACCGCAAAAGGTAGATGTAAAGCAACAACCATTCATGCAATTAATGACCTGAGTACTTCAGGTCTGTGCAAAAACGCATGATCGCACGGGCCCACTCGATGCGTTCCACCCTGAGTTGCAATTTGGAAGAACGTATAAAAACTGGTGATCATGTACCTGCACGTCCATGTGGCGCGATAGCGCAACAGCTTCATCCCAACCGATACCTCATTCTTCCGGTATGCAGCAGAATGGGGTATCGGTTGGGATGAAGCTGGCATAGCCTCGGCTTCCTCCGGTATGCAGCAGAATGGAGTATCGGTTGGGATGAAGCTGTTGCGCTATCGCGCCACATGGGCGTGCAGGTACCGAGGCAATATGAGCCCAAGTGTTTGGTTGCAGCGCAGGGATTATTCCTGCCATTAGCGACCCGCGAGTTCAGTGCAAAAAAAGCGCGATCGCACCGGCAAGCCTGGTGCGTTCCAGCCTGGGTTTTTTGCCAGTGAAAATGGCCGCAGAAAATTTCATAAGCCCTTACGTGAGTGCAGTGCATAGCTGGGGGCTGAATTTGAAACAATTGTATTTGGATAGGGAATATTCCCCTAAAATTTCAGCCTTGCAGCTTTTCTGGTTGCCGGAATAGTAATTCCCGCAGAAAGTTTCATTCGCCCTTACGTGAGTACCACGCATAGTTCGGGGCTGAATTCAAAATGTTTGAGGTGTAGTTGGATAGGGGACATTCTCCAAAAATTTAAGCTTTCTTGTACAGAAGCTTACACAGACACACATACACACAACACACACACAGCTCCTCGACAATATGCGTTTTTGCATTTACATGGACGGAAAAAACGCATAATAATTAGTTAAATATGCGTTTTTTGCTTGTAACAGCAGTACAAAACGCACATTTTCACGAGGTTGTCTGTGT